CCCCAAAACCCCAAAACCCCAAAACCCCGCAAAACTATGATAATTTTAGATTTTGAACCTCCAAAAGATGGGTGTGCATAAATTAATGAAGCTTATACAACTCAATGCAAAGAGTGCCTATGAGGACATTCATTTAGCAGATCTTCCTATTGAGGAAGAAACCAACAGCGATGCTTCCTCTGACACTCAGATTGTGGAGGAAGAACAAAAAGGTATTTAAGACTTTCTTAATTTGATAGAACCTGAAAAGCCTGAAATCAGTCCTAATGTTGTCATTGACGGGGTAGTTTTTATATATCATAGCATACTGAGGATTTACCAACAGTAAAGTTCTTCAATAATTCTGTAGAAAACTGACAATTTTTGGTAAGCATAATATCTCAAAGGCTGAAAATGAGTACAAGAATTTGATTCAAAAAGACCTTCTCAATCGCATTATTGGGTTCCTTGAAAAAGAAATTAAGATAGCTTTTGTGTTTGATGTCTCTAAATTCAGTTTAATGGACGACCTATCCTGTATCCAAGAAGTTGGGGTTACTTTCAAGAGGTCTCAGATGATCAAAACTATCCCTCAAGAGCTATACATGGACATTAAGGACATTCTTAATAGATTTGGGGCTGAATGTTTTGAAGTAGAAAATAACATCCATTATGAATGAACTAAAATTGCCGAAGATTATCAAAGTTTAGGAATTGTAACTGAAGATCTTGCTTTCTTAGCTTTTGGGGCATCTGCTATTATCAGGTACATAAACCCAGACAAAGGATTGATAAGGTACATTCACAGTAAAGAAATTATTGAGAGTTTTGATATTGATCAAAGACAGTTTGCAGATCTATGCATTCTTTTAGGCTGTGACTATTCTGAGACATTTGAGTTACTTAATACTTCAAAGATTTTTCATTACATTAAGAAGTATAAAGATATTGATTCAATTCTGGACCACTTTCAAGCAGAATCAGAAGAAACTAAAGATCTTAAACTGTTGAAATATATTTCAAACTATGATTATGGTACTGCAAGGAGTATTATCAACCCTGAGGTTACTGAAAAGTCTCAATCTGATAATCAGGAGCCCATAATTTCTCACTTTAAAGAGCCAAATCTCGAAGAAACTTATGATCTACTTACTTGAGGGAAAGATGACACTAAGCTAAAGTATTTTGCTCCTCAATGTGCTTTGTATACAAAACTGATTCTTGAGAGACTGAATAAAGACAACCTGAAGTTAGTGCAGACAAAATTAGATTGATTAAAATTAACTTAAATCTCTCAACTTTTAATACAGCTCAGGGGTTTTGGGGTTTTGGGGTTTTGGGGTTTTGGGGTTTTGGGG